GCTGATGATAGGTGGTGTTGCTCGATTCGTTTTTGATCTCCGAAGCTTTCCTTCAATAACTCGATGGCGCCGGCATAACAGGCTTCGGATGTCGGAAAACCACATATCGCAGCTGCCGCTTCACCCGCAAGATAATGACATAGATAGAAGAACGTCGTTGCTGACGTAGCGTTGTTCAGGTGAACAGTTTGCTCAAACTGCTCCCAGAAAGCCGACCGTTCATGTATATCACCTCTAAATGTTTGCATGCCAAGGTTCGGCAGCCTTGGGCCAATTGCGGTTGGCCCGCCAGAAGGTGATGTGTTTCCGTTCTGAGGAGCAGCCGCTGCTGTACTGTCTCCATCTCGCAAACCGTCTATGTTGCAGAGAATCTCAGCGAGCATGCTTATAGCTTTGTTGTTATACTCTGCTGCCGCGACATACTCGGCTTCAAACTCCTGTTCCGCTAGGTGCTCCTCGAGAGCATCATTTATCTTCGAGAGCTTGTTTTTGCTCGCTGACAAACGGTCATAAATACTTGTGAGCTTGGGCTTGTCCGCAGTAGGGTCACTTAGCAGTGACCTTGCCTCTTGTAGGAGCTTGGTGTTGTGGGCTTGTCGAGCGGAGCGCTTGGTCTTGAGGCGATTCATTGGATCCGGTGTTCGAGTCCAGTCTGGTCTACGCCGATCAGGAACGATCCGTTGCAGTCCTCACCGCCCGCAAAAAAACACGGTCGAGTAGAAGGTCTCTCGACTAGTGCGATGAAGGAGACGTGTCCGAACGAGGGGTTTAGGCACCACGATGTAAAGGAAAACTATCGGTTGCTGAAAGACCAGACCGAGCACCGCTTCTTGTTTCTAACTTCTTCCTTTTCTGTTGCAGTACTAGCCTGCACACGTTTATTTCTTTGCTTTTCAAACAGCCCTATGGTAAAGTGCTTGATTGCCACGCAGATTGCTTGGGTTCGATTCGTGCTGGGACCCTAAAATTTCTTATTTACAATTGTCAGGGGTCAATGCTGCTTATATCAGGAGTTTCTTTGCACTGGCATTTTTTCTTTGCAATCATCGGGTCAATGCTACCGATGTGGGGTATCCCCTAACGTTAACGCATTTAAACTGCCGATATGTGGTCTCGTCATCCTGGGGTAGACCATCGCGGCTGCATTTCCGATGGAGGCGGAAGTGTTGTAGGCCCGTGTGCTCAGACTTGGGTGCACGCTAAAGAACCCTAGGTGGTCGAAATTTCCGGAGTCCTCCACTACGGCGTCTCTCATTATCATATGGTGGTTTTGGGACGTTAAACCCCACATATCAATCAATGGGGTAGATCATAGTTATCATAATCAAAATCATCGTCATCATCATCAGCCTGACTACGTCCACTGCAGGACAAAGGCCTCTCCAATGTTCTGCTAGTTAGCCCGGTCCTGTGCTGCCTGCTGCGAATTTATACCCGCAAACTTCTTAATCTGATCAGCCCACCTAACTTTCTGTTTTCCCCTAACCCGCTTGCCTTCTCTGGGAGTCCAGTGAGTTACCCTAAATGACCAGCGGTTATCCTGTATACGCGCTACATGCCCGGCACATGTCCGATTCCTCTTCTTGATTTCAACTATCATATCCTTGACCCCCGTTTGTTCCCTAATCCACTCTGCTCTCCTCTTATCTCTTAATGTTACACCTACAAATTTTTTTCGGTGCTCGTTGTGTCGTGCTCAATTTAAGCTGAACCCTCTTTGTAGGTGTCTAGGTTTCTGCTCCGTAGCTATGTACCGGCAAGACACAGCTGTTATATACCTTCTTCTTGAGAGATAGTGGCAATATACCTGTCACAACTTGAGTGCTCGCCAAATGCGCTTCACCCTAATCTTATTCTTCTAGTTTCTTCAATCTCGTGGTTCGGCTCCGCGGTTAATTCCTTCCCTAAGTAGACATAGTCTTTTACAACTTGAAGTACAGCATTATATTTTGAGCATTACTCTATTACCTGATTGACAGTAATAATGTGGTCGATTGCTGAGTAGCCTGTTCGAAATCCTGCTTGTTCTTTTGGTTGATTAAATTTAATGTTTTCTTTACTCTGTTAGCAATTACCTTTGCACCAGGGCAGATATCCAGTGCCAATTCCCTGTGGCACATATCAGCAGCACATACCCGCCCGTGGCTGTGTGCCGTGGGGGCAAGAAGTTTGACAATGTACGCGACAGGATTGCGACATTATCAATGTCTTCACACACGCGTCATATTCGTCAAAAACCCTTTTCCTCCCATACTAGTTTTGGTTCACGCAGAGTTAATGGGGTGACCACGAGAGCACCCAAACGTAAACGGCTGGATGGATGGGTGGGTGGATGGGTGGATGGGTGGATGGACGGATGGATGGATGGATGGATGAATGAATGGACGGACGAACTCAAGTCGACGAAGTTCTCCAAGAAATGCTTCGCATTTAAACTGTCACAGGAATTTTCCTTACAGTACGAGCCTTTCCTCGTACAAGCGTGGTTGAAGTGTTTTAGGACTGCCGAGCACGATAATTTTTTTAATGTAGAGGCCAAGGAGTACTCGCTCATCCACCTCCTTGGCGTCCTTCGGAGTTTCGTGTAGACGTGATGGCTGCATTCATAATATGTCATACCTGTGAAGTTTAGGCGGGACTGAGTTCGAGGTTCGGATCGGTAGAGGATAAAAACAGTGTCCTTAGAGTGCGCGCCTTGATTACGACGCACCGAATGAGAAGCCGTCACTGTGGGTAAAGCAAGCACATACATTGATTTCTGTATTCGAACTTGTAAACTTTTTTTCAAGCAAAATTTCTCTTTTGCATGCCCTTTCTCAAATTTCTGTGAAATGTTCATAGAGTACACTACCTTGTTGTAAAAACGGTTTCGTACTTCATCGTAATAGTGCCAGTGTAGCATTGACGTGATTTTGTGAATATGACGTTCTGCTACCTCTGCCGATTTCTTTATTCACACGTCAATACAGATTTCATGCAAAACATATTTCGCGAAGTCAGTTTCGTTCTAAAACCGTCAAATTACCTTTCTTTGGCCATATTTCGTTTTCAGTTCGCAGTTTCAAAAACTGTCCTTCGTTTCTAGACACATTCGGTATCTTCATAAGAGGCGATCCCCTGGCCGGCTACCACGATAGTGACCCTTCGTGCTTGTATGCCACTCCAAAGTCAGTCACACCACTGTTCTTGTTGATGTGTTTTTTTTCTGTTGGTTTTGGAGTCCGGGCTCACACATGCTTGGCAGGGTCACGATTCTCTGGTCATCTTTAGGCGTCGTTCAGATTTGCCAAGATGCTTTTGTGGTTTGGTGTGGTTACCTCCCTGTTTATATTACATGAGTGACATGCAAGTTGATATCATGGTCTCCGCTTTTTGCTGTGTTACGCGAGAACATTTCGCATTGCATTGAAGCTACGTACTGTAGGTAGTTTCGGCGTTGCCGTATCATTCCCGGAAAGTATTTCGTACCTGTGTGACATAGAAATCAGTGCAGGTAGCTTCGTAGACTAGCCAAAAGAATCTTTCTCTTGGCCATGGCAATAGCCATGTAATTGTTAAAGCGTTATTTTTTGCCATCTGAATGAACTTCTTGCCAAGCACTGTTCTCAAGAGTAGCGCTAACAGTAAAGTCTGCCCTCTATCATCGTACCACGTCTCTGTCCCGTACATACGGGAGATCAGCGATCAAACACGTTTTAACCATTGGACGACTCTTGCAGCGGTTAATAATCAGCTGCCCAAAGAAAGGTTCCCAAGCACGGCTAGCCTGCAAAGTGTACAAAGTCCTGATCGCCATGTCACTTAATTGGCGAGACGCAAAACATTGTGAAAAATGTACGGCAAAGTTTACACGACCTACGTTTCTTCAATGTAGCGCGAAGCCACTCGCAGAACACAGCGAGGAGCGTGACCACCGAATAAACTTCGACACTACGAGCATCATGGAAACGAAAGATAACAGCACCAGAGTACAATTCTTACAATCTTGGCTCGTGCAAACGACACCTGGAAACATTACTCGTCAACTGGGACGCTGCAGAGTCGATATATGTACACGCACTCAGGAACAAAGAAAGAAAAAGCGCATTGACGGGCCCATGACAGGGTCACCCAACCATTTGTGGTCTTCAGCATAACCATAAGTGGAGGTTTCCTTTTACATATGCCAGTATGAGAACTGGGCCTTAAAAGAATATTACAGCAGGGTAAAAAAACTGTATATGTCACTAGTGTAACGCCTACTAGCCGTCATCGACTGCCATTTTGCCATGGCACATGCGACGTCGCGTGCAGCAAGGAGTGGTGCCGTCGTCATCCAAACAAATTTTCGAACCACTTCTGACCATTCAATTGGAAGTGCCTAACTTGCGAAATCTTTCAAAGCACCATTGCATGCCGACATGAGCACGAAATAAAATAGTGGGCCGGAATACGAACGCTTCCAAAGCAAGCGGCTTATGGCGTTAGGGCTCGCGAGTGCTCCAGTGTTCTCGCTTTATGGCAGCATGCGTGCATAGAAATGGTCGTTCTCATTTGGGCGCTACACCAAATGCCCTGAAACTTTGCCAGCTTGTTTGCGGATGCAGAAGGACTGACCACCATAATACAGAATAGGACAGAAAATTGCATGGCATAGTCTCTTTAACAAGAACGGTGTGGAAAATGACAGTAAGAATTGAGACACACTGAAGAGCGCTGCCTTCCGAGCCAGCTGGACATCCATTTTCTGAAGAGGTCGGACAGTTATTTAAATGTAGGGCTAGTTTTAAAATAAAAACTGAAGAATACATGTTGCAGGAGGATATATACAGATGGAAGATCTGCATATAGAGAGAGATAATGATTATTGTGTGCGCAACATAAAAGATGGCTAAGCTTATCTCCGACGGTTTCGCTATGGTACCTACAGTGCGATAGTACAGCTTTAAACCTCATGTTCAAGACTAATGGGTTTAGCATAGAAAAAGGAGCCGTTCTCAGGTGTCATATTTTTTGCACAGGAGTCAAGATTGCTCGGCGCCTCATGTTGAGCGAAGCCATGCGTGAAATCAAAGCAGAACCTTGGAACGACCCTCTTCCCGAGTGTGAGTCGGCAGGCGCAATCTGGAGTGATGGCTACCTGGCCTGCTTCGTGCGACACATGGCTCACACCACGTGGCATGCCTGCTGCACGTGTCCCATGGGCAATGATACAAGGGCTGTTGTGGATCACACGCTCAGGTGGGCTTTCTCTACTGATCGTTCGAAATACCACTGAACGCTGTCAACAGAGTGCATATTTGGCTCTTCTGCGGGCTTCTCCACGATTGCCAGTAAAGGTTAGGTAGACTAGGCATAAGTGTATGTCAAAATCCTGCTTTGTGTAAACAGAGCAACAAGGTAAAAGGACTTAAGCTAATACCCTCTAGACAAGCCAGGGCTTCTTCACCTCTCGGTGACGTCAGCACACTGGGACGAAAGCGTGGGACGCGTTATCAGAAATGTTCATCGCTGTGCGCTCGCTAGTGAACCTAAAGGTGCCTTGTGGATCAATTTTTCATGCTGCCTCCCCTTTCCCGAAAGCGGCAACTGAACAGCTCCGTCGTAGTGTGGGGACGTAGGCGTCAGGAGAGAAGGATATGAAGAAAATTTAGGTAGTCTAGCTGAGTTTTTGAAATGCGGAATGATAGGTAATGTGAATACTGTGAAGTGTGAACGGAAGAGGGTTTAATTTGTGAGCTCGTAATGAGCAGGCAGCTGAACTTGAAACTTCTTTCTACATGCACCTTTTTTTATGACACAAATGTTTACTCTTGTATAGAAAAAATTATGCATTATGGTACTGCAGTTAATTTAAATGAATGAATAAAAAGAAACCACGACTACCTATGTCGCCTTTGAATATAAGTATGCTTATACTGCATCCTCAGCTGATTTCTAAGGCAGGCGCTTTGGCCGAGAACAGGCAAAGCTGACGCTGAAAAATCTACAAAATTCATTTAAAGTTGGTGAAGCCTGCCGGCACACTGCCTGCCGACCTCTTCGCACCTAAAAAGTACTTCTTCTAGAATGGCGAGAAAACGCGGTCGACACGACACATTCGTAGGAAGTAACATTGTGGTACGATATAGGAGGAGCAGTAAAGAACGAGCAAGAATAAGCTGAAAGATGGCAATCAGATTTAGGAGTAGAGTGCGAGGATTTCCTGCCTGTTTTGTACGCAACATTACGCAGGGCATTTTTTTTGACACTCTGACTCCTATCGAAATTCTTCGAAAGCAAAGCTGATGGTTTCGCACGCGAACTCTACGTCAACGTTGAAATGCTCTCGCAGTTGCAGAAATGACTCTTTTGCACCAGATTAAAAAGAACTCGATAATAAATTTCTCAGATGGAACTGAGGGCATTTTTTTATAGAAACGTTCTAGCGCATGACGATTCGGGTTCTTAGGCATGCTCTAGAGATCACAAAGGTTGTAAGCAAATAAATGCATGCATTATCGAAATTTAAGGGCAATATCAAAACGCATCGCACCCGGTACGCTTGAAAAAGCACGACCAAGTTACGTTACAGTGGCACTGTAACAGTGGCACAGTGGCCAGTGGAGCGTCGTGTTTTTACTTGTATTGTTTGGTGCTTTTCAGCTTCTCTGGAGCTGTGTACATAAAAAACCATAGTATCATACCTCTGCTGGAAGAATGAATTTCATGGCTAGCGACAACAGCACTTGCAGGCAGGGAAAATTCATTTTCGCACCTTTTTCTAGTTAGCAAATTATTAATCCAGCACAGCACATTGTACCGAAGTAATAATCTGTTTACTTAGGTACTTGAAAATCCTTTCCGATTTCGTAGGCCAGATTCTGGCCAAATTCCACCTAATATAAATCCGTACCCGGAATTAATTATTGCATTCTTAAAAAAACTAAACCTCTAGCTTATGCGAATGGCGCTATTTGTCTGCTTGAAGGTGTTAAACTTTGAAGAAGCAGGCCACACATTAACGTTCCTTTATTGCGAACGCAATTATATGAACAGTCTTGGCTGGTTTTTACCATTGCCAAAAGTGCCGTCATGCACCATATATGTATACGTGTCTATATAGAAAAAAACTCAAGAAAGAAAAAAATAGCCCCGTATCTGCATGTTACACTGCGAATGTTGTTGAAAAACGGTAGTCTTGCGTCTGAAGAGAGTGAACAAAGCGTTTATTTGATGTTCTGCACAAAAATGTCTGTGAATGGTGTTCTGGAGGCACTGCGTTAGAGTGTCTCGAGCGTACAGCGGAGGTACTAGTACACTCTAGCGAAGACGAATGTGCGCATCGAGTCACGTCAACGTGAGACATGAGCGCTATCTGGCAGTTATCTTGGAAAACGAAGCGCGTGGCATGCGCGCCCATCTCGGTGGCGATAAAGTTTAGAACGCAAGGCGACGGGTAGGTGCCACCACCGTGTCGTCTTAGCAAAGCGTTGGAAACACTTGCCTTTTCGTGCAAGCGGTGCATCGTCAGCGCAGTGCGATAAACGCAACGGTCCTCAGAGTTACTTGTACGTGCCTCTTCTAGTATAAATGCAGACATACAAAACATCTACTTGTTGTTGTGGCACCTCAGATATGCGTAGTAATTGCTTTTTAATTGACAATCGCACAACTCTAAACGCTAATGCTCGAGCAATATTGGTGGGCGCTGCGGATGGGGTAGGCAGTTTGGGATATTGTTAGGGGTGGACAAACAGACAATTTACAGACAGAGAAAAAAAAGCAAAGTTTTTGCGTCGAAGACTATCGTCTTTTGAAAAGCTGCCCTCGATCGGCACCCAGCTCGTCGCATGTGCCAACGCGCGTTTATCTACCACGCGTACTCTGCTCCACGGGTGGGGTTGGTGGGTAGGGGGGGGGGGGGTTCAGGTGCTTGTGAGCTCGCCCTGATCATTTGGTGGGAAGAATCGTGTACCTTGGCCTTTCACCGGAATGATTGCGCTAGTTGCCTGGGCCACAAAGGTCAACTTTATTCCTTGAGCAGGCCTAGTTTGCGAAAAGTGCGCTCTTTTCAAACACAGCGAAGTAACAACAGGGACACTCGTTAGTTCACACTAATATCTGAGCCTGCGATTACGTTTCGTGCATCGTTTTTGTTTAAACAGCGCGTGAAGGCAACGAGTTGTAAACGTTATTAGTTAGCTCTCGTACTGTGTTGTTTTCGTGCGTCATTTGCTAGCTACTTCTCAGCGTTACTTTCAAGTTATTGCAAACGCATTAATTCCTTCACCCTTGCGACGAAACTGTGACTTTTTATCTGCAGAGTGCAATAGCGCATGTAGAAGCTGATGTGGTGTTGTAGTGGTGGTTATTATAAGGGGTTCGATAGTTCTTTTATGTTATACTTGTCAGGTGGAACGTTCAAATTTCTAAGACCCAACCCAGCCAAAGCTCCAGCCAACTTACCTTGCTTTCCTAACTCGTCAAAAATACGTTGTCTATACAATGACATGAAAGGTACTGCTCTTCTAGCTATGATGTTCACTTGAGGTATTGCATAGTGAAAGTACGCATTATCTAGTACAGAAATTGATGTTAGTGCAAATTTAGTACCAAGGTTGTCAGTTGCTGAAACTTTTCTATTTAAATACTGCAAAGTATATGCTTTCATGCCTAGCAATTCCTCTTCAAGTACAAGTGTGCTTTAACGAAGAAAAAAATGTTTAGTTGAACATGTTTGACTTGCAGCGACAGCTAGATGCATACTGCTGTTTTGTGTTAGCGCAAGATTGCTGTTTAAGGTCACTTGGTTGCTGAAAATTTCTGCAGATAGCACTCGCTGTGGGAATCAAGTTCATGAGAGCAGTCACTGAGTTGCGGTCTGCGACGGCTTTTAGCTATGAACCAAACATCACGATGCCAAATGAACTCATTGTGAAATTGTCGCCCAGACGAGACGTGCAGAGTAAGAACATTAAGGACACCTTGTATGTACTAAAGTATCTTCGGCGAATGCCTGTCTAAGGCAAGTCTTTTTCTATTTTTGTGCGCGAAATTCCCAGTCGATTGGTACTCATTTAATTGTTTCATTACTGCCTTTATCCACTCTCAATCTACGTTGTGATACTAATCTGTTCGTGGGGCTGGTCGATACGAGATCATGCCGTTTGGTCTCGCTAGACTCATAAAGACGGGGGAGGGGTTCATGCTACTAATACGAAAATGTCACCGATACGTGATGGTTTTGCCAATCGGCGTCCATGACGCCTGAGCGCGCACTCTCTGAAGTCATGGTTAGACGCACGCGCGCCACGCCACCCACCGAATGGTTCATCGCCAACTGAGAGAAAGGTGTCACGTAATTTCTTGATCAAAGCGAGGCAAGAGGCCACATGCGGCACCGTTTCAGGGCAAGGATGGACGAAGGGTTAGAAATGTTTTCGTCTTCAAACAATGGTAGATGAAGGTTAGCTCATCGTGTAACACTAACGTCGGGCCTCGCGTAAGAAACGAGTGGTCAGGGCACACTACGCTGCTATTGCGTACACATGATAAGCAGCAGTTATATTTAGTCCCCCGCAGGGGCGCCTGCGCAAGTAGGCGTTTGGTGTGTAGCGACACCACGGACCCGAGCTAACGGGGGAGTTTCGGCTCCCTCCCACGCCTAGCCGTGCGTGGCTTTGCCGTGTCCGGGGAAAAGGGGATCCTGGGGGTTGAGCCAATGCTGGGTGATGGACCTTTAAGACCCCCGGCAGAGGCAACACACCCCTTTGGCCCCGGCTTCACGTAGACGGCACCCCTGGGCTGACCCACCCAGGGGAAATCGGCAGTCGCCTTTTCCTATCTCTCTCTCCCTACATCTTCGTCTTTTGTTCTGACTTTACATCTTTCCTGTATTCTCCTCACTTCATTTTACTTCCCATTTTTCCTTGTGTCAAGGGTTAACCTAGTTTAAATTTTTAACCTTGGTAGATATATTAGGTTATGGCAGTGGCGTACTACTGGCGTTGTGGAGACATGTTTACATGTTCTGCCACGTCCCCTTGTTGAGCTCCGTGGTGGGTGGTAGGCGCCGTTACTGAAGGAACTGCACTTTTTTATGGGATCACGAAACCCCTTATCCATTGATCGCCCCTTCAAAAGGTGGCGCACTGAAGCAAATTTAATGCCGTTTTCGGAAAAACAAGACCATTTACCTAAGTACCACGTTATTCATTGCGAAAACTCGGACAAAAAAGCTCGCAACATCTCCCCATTCC